AAAAGCAGAGAGGTTATGTTGCAGCTGTACAAGGTGCTGGTGAGGCCACACCTGGAGTACTGTGTGCAGTTTTGGTCTCCTTACTTGAGAAAGGATGTATTGGCACTGGAGGGGGTGCAAAGGAGGTTCACTAAGTTGATTCCGGAGTTGAGGGGGTTGGCTTATGAGGAGAGACTGAGTAGATTGGGATTATATTCATTGGAATTCAGAAGATTGAGGGGGGATCTTATAGAAACATATAAAATTATGAAGGGAATAGATAAGATAGAAGTAGAGAGGATGTTTCCACTGGCAGGTGAAGCTAGGACAAGAGGGCATAGCCTCAAGATTAGAGGGAGCAGATTTAGGACTGAACTGAGAAGGAATTTCTTCACCCAGAGGGTTGTTAATCTATGGAATTCCTTGCCCAGTGAAGTAGTTGACGCTACTTCAGTAAACGTTTTTTAAAAAAAGGTAGATTTTTTTTGAACAATAAAGGAATTAAGGGATACATTGAGAACGCGGGTAAGTGGATCTGAGTCCACGAAAGGATCAGCCATGATCTTATTGAATGGTGGAGCAGGCTCGAAGGGCCAGACGGCCTACTCCTGCTCCTAGTTCTTATGTTCTTATGTTCTTATTTTGTATCTGGAACTATTCGGATATGACACAGCCAGGTTTAACTAATCAAGTACAGTTTGCTTCAATAGCGAATAGTCTCACGTAATCAAACATTGGAAACATTGAACGCTACATGTGTGCAACCAAAGTTTCTCATCTATCGTTAGGGAACTTGCATGGAATCCCTAAATAAATTTAGGACCAACAAGAATATAGTGCTACTTCAAAATTACATAAAATCTGCAGTAAATATCTCCACTTGATTGTCTCTTTTCCAGAAGAAAAACTGTTTCAATCTTCTGAGTCTTTGCTAATGGTTCTGCTTTTTAAAGTTCTGGTAACAGTTTTAGAAATCCTCACATCATTTATTTCCGGAGAAAGAGGAAGAAGGAAGAAGGAAGAAGGAAGAGAAGTGTGCTGTGTGAAGTGGGGGTGGGTGCGTGGGTTTGGAAGATATTGGTGGTGGTGAGAGAGAGAGAGAGTGAAATAGAGAAAGAGAGTGGGAGAAGAGAGAAAGGAAATGTGAGAGAAAATGAAAGCGACAGATGATGACATTTCGTTAATGTCTCTCGAGTAGAAATAGACATCCCCAAGGTAATGTTCTGGGGACAAGAGTTCAATTCTCACTGCTGAAGCGAATGGGATTTAAATTTTAAAAATTTGAAATGCTAGTCTCAATAATGGTGACCATGAGAACTTTCACTGATTATTGTAAAAATTGATCTGGTACACTCATGTTCTTCAGGGATGTAAACCCACTACCCTTGCCCAGTCTTGTCTGTTTATCAATCCAAACCTATAGTAATGTTGTTGATTTTTAACTGACTTCTGGAATGGCCTCGAAAGCCACTCAGTTCAAGAGCAATTAGGGATGGGCAACAAGTGCTGGCGTTGTTTGCAATACCTACATTCCATGAAAGACTAAAACAAAATAATTTGCCTGACTCTTAACTGCACTCAGGAGACCTAGCAAGCTGTTCAGGTCAAGGGTAATTGTGGCAACAAATTGTGGCCTTGCCAGCAATGACTACATCCGATGAAAGAATAAAGAATAAAGAAAGCTGCTACATAAATTTAACATTAGCTGCTTACTTTTGAATGGAACCACTGTATTTTGTTTACAATTTGTTGTGTCCAACTCAGGGACAATATAAAATCTTGATATAAGAGGATAGGTGTAAGACAGATTTACAAATGTGAATCTACATCAGACAAGTTTACCTCCCCATCTGTAGACTGGAGCTGTAGTTCTCTTCGACAGGTTGCCTTGAGGTCTCCTTCAGCTGCAGTAATGTGCACTCCCTTTGGGGCTTCCATTGTCAGAGTGCGAGTTGGAGATTCCAGCCTGCAAATTTCATTTGAAAAGCAAACTCATGATGAACAAAATGCCTTCTAACAACAACGCAATTCAAGAGCACCTCCAGGACTGTGATAAATGAATTGTCAAATTACACCATTGATTTGTTAGGCTATTGAAATGAAAATAAAAGGGTGTTGCCTGAGTTCAGAAAGCTGTGGGCATTTTAATCAAACCGTAAATCAAAACAGCAGCAGGACTCATTTGGACAAGATTTCAATACATTTCATACAAAACATGTGTCTCGATAAGCTTATTTTTGCAATTTGCATTCCGAGTACATCAGGATGTTTTAAGAAACTGAAAAAAAAGACAACTGCTCTCTTGAAATCAGAACCAAGGCCTTCTCAAGTGTAGCAGCACTCCATTTCAACCTCATCCACTTCAAAAAACTCTGGAAACCACCAAGCCTAAGAGTCATATTCAATTTGAAATGTTAACTCTGTTTTTCTCTCCATGAGTGCTGTCTTGTCCTGATAGAACATTTGCTGTACTTCTCATTTCTATTTTGGGACAAAATAGTTTTATGATGACAACAAAAACAACAGAGAATCAAAATTATTGTGGGATAAGTGAGACACCCAAATCAATTGTCCAAGGAGAAGTGAAATGGTCCAGAATCGTGGCCAAGTTAGTATGTAGCCCTTGAGAACCATCCAATTCTGGAATTTGTGCTAATCCCAAGGAGACAGCTTAGTGGCATTATCACTGGACTGTCCATCCAGCAACCCTGGTAATGCTCTGGGGGCTTGGGCTTGAATCCCACGGTGGCAACTGGTGGAATTTCAATTCAGTTTTAAAAAGAATCTGAAATTACGAGTCTAATGATGAACATGAATCCATCGTCGATTGTTAGAAAAAAACATCTGGCTCACTAATGTCTTTTAGGGAAGAAAACTGTTGTCCTTACCTGTTCTGGTTTACATGTGACTCCAGATCCACAGTAATATGGTTGACTCTTAACTGTTCTCTGGACAATTAGAAACGGGCAACAAGTGCTACCCTAGCCAGTGATGCCCTCATTTCACAAATGAAAGGAAGAAAAATGTGGCATCTCCAAACTGGACTTTCTTCTCATAATTTTTCCTTCTTGGCGTGTGAAGTTTTGGTGGAGAAGTATTGAGTACTAATACCTGCAGTCATTCAGCTATCAAATTGTTGTCTCAACTACCATCAATTAAGTCAATGTGACTTGAAAATTTTATTTTATAAATAATTAAAGCTTTCATATTTACAATTTGTCTTTGTTGTGTAAAATGTCCTTTTAAAAATAATTTTAAAAAGACTTGATAAAATTGGCCTTTTATTGGTGTGCATATTGATACTTCCATGTTCTTATCAAATTGTTGTGTTTCCATTTTTCCAGTTATGCAATTAAAAATAGATACTAATTTGAAGAAGCAATGAAAAATTATATTTAATCTTTTTTATACATATGAAGGTCATGATTGGTATGTGCATGCTATTACATTTTAAACTGCTATCATAATTTGAGAATTTGAACCTATATTGATAGATGAAAATATTGCTTCTATACTCTAAAAAGACATCAGACGCAGAAAGCAAATTCTGAAAAAAATATTTTATTCCAACGGTACAGGGAATATATTGAGGACCATCCAGCCTCAGGCTTTCTGTAGATTTTATATGACATGTCATCAGCTTAACTGGCCTGTTGTCCTGTGTAAGTTGGGGTAAAAATTCTCATCAGTTGATGGATATACCTGGACTAAAACCCTCTGAAAATGTAAGTTTGTGGAAATAACATTGGACCAAAATCTACTGAACTTTCAGAGTCAAGAAACCATGGGCCTCAACCGAACCAGAAAAAGCTGGCTGGGACAGACTGGGTATTATACAAGCCCAGGCGCAGATGTCAGTTCCTACTATCTCTGGAACAGGGGTTAGCTTACAGAAAGTAAAGGAAGACCCCATTCATGCCCCAGCTTAAACAACAAAAACCAGATTGCAGGAAACAAACAATTAAGCTACAAAGCCTTTCAATTTCCAACCAGTGCTCAGGCACAGAAATACCAAACATTCCACACCATTGTGCTACATGTAAACCTGTTTTACCTTTGGATGTAAGAACATTCACACTACTATTCAAAATTTAACAAATACCCATCCAAGGGAAATACTGGATATTCCAAACCATTGAAACCATTCACCTCAAGGGAAAAGCCAATCACACGTCCTCCAGTGATCAGGAAGCTCATTCAGCTCCGAGAGGAGGAACAATAGCTCGGCAGCCAAAATCAGATTTGGCGGGAGATAAGGAGGCCTGCGGTTGGGTATAACTGGAGACCCCGATCCCAGCACTGTGCACTGTAATACCAGCAACACGCCCTGATTCCAACAAGGTGTGTGCTCTGAGGTGGGCTCTGTGTGTGCCCAGTGTGAGCGGTTCATGAGAGAAATCTGAGAGTCTGAACAAGAAGCAGGCCCTGCAGGCGAAGGAGCCCTTGAGCCAAAGCCACGAGGAAGGGAAAGGAAATCAGTCAGACTTACCGATCGAGAGATAAGTTCCCACAGACACCTCCGAGACATGGACTCTGTGAACTCTTCACTCCGAGAGCAATCACTCGCAACCACTGAACACCATCAACCAACCACAAACCTCCCATCGATGTCTGGAGGTGACTGAGAGCATCCAGAGACACAAGGCACCAACCGGAGCAACACCAGCAACATCCACCACCATCCAACACAACAACCCGCTCACAAGGACCACCAGGAAAGGAAAGAAACCCCAGGTACTCACCATCAGGTCCAACGCACCTAACTGCATCAGCGCAAACCACCAGACTGGCAATGTCAGCAGTCATGGCCTCCCTCTCCACAGAGCCCCAGGCAAGAGACTACAGACAAGAGACAGTCAAAATTGCGTTCCACTCCAGGGGTGAGCCTAATATCATCGAGACCCTCTAATCCAGCTTGGCTCTCCTAAGATAGGAGAAGGTGGGGTTTGGGGACAAATGGTGTAGGGCATCCCTAAGGAAGGGAAGCGGGGCGGGACTTCAGGTTAGCAAGAAATTTCTTTCTCTGTTCTCTCTCTCTGTCTCTCTCTACCACCACCACCGCCCCCAACGACACCCCACCCAACCCCACCATCCACACCGCTGTAAGCCAATTGGTAGCAACCATTCACTTTAACAATTAAACCCACTGTATCAAGTCTTGGCTGTAAGGCTTAACTGGGGGTCAGGTTAACTGTCAGACAGGTCTCGGTCATTAACAGTTAGGTTTGATATTCACTTTCCAGTTTTTCTGTAAATATATTCAATTTGCTTGTTTTTCAATAAAATTCAGAGTTTTCTTTGCCTCTGGAACATCTGCGTCCTGTGTTATCCACCACACCACATTCCACCACATAAACCCAGTGCCAGAACCAGGGAGCTGGTGAACAATGAACCAGGCAGCATTCCCTACACCTGGTTAGTTCCAGTGTTTAATGATGCAGCAGTTATAGAATGGAATAGAAATTTATTGTCATGTGTACTTTAACATCAAAAATACAGTGAAAAGTTTTATAAGTCGCCCCACCATGGTGCCTACATCAATGACAGAAGTTATTTATAATAATAATAATAATAAAAAGTAAAATTAAGACAAAGTTCATCACAGTTCAGTTAACGGCTCCTGGGCTGGGAGAAAGCTGATTAAGGAATGGAATACTTTGTAGGAGATGGTAATTTGCTTTGAGTCTTTTGGAAAGAGTTTATGCATTCTATGCCCCTCATTCAGAATGACTAACAACTTTCTCCATCAAGAGTAGCAGCAGGACTTATCTGCAGGAAGTCATGTAACAACTTTCATTCCTTTCATCAGGACCTTCCTGCGTCATCATGCCAAATGCCAAGGATTTGCAAGAGCTGAACATTGTGGGGTTACCACCACCTCCAAGCTACTCAACATATTGCCTTGAACAAATGTTGCATTTCCCTAATCATCACTGGATCTGTATACTGGAATCCCTGAGCTAACAGCATTGTGCAGCACAAGGACTGTTGGCCCTTGCAGGAGATCCATTAGCACCTTCTCCTTGAAACTAGGGTAGGAATTGAATTTAAGCTTCTCCCATGACCCCAAAAGCAAATAAAAATCAGCATATTTTTCGCTTGACTATACTTGTTGGTTGATCAAGCAAAGCGATACAGTCCAGAAGGTAAGACAATAGATATTCTTAGGTCTTTTACCACTTTAATAAAAAGACATTGTAAAGCAGTATTTGGTGTGTATGCAAATGTCTATGAAAAAGAATGGCATATGAAATTGAAGGAATATTAAATACTTTTCAATCTCAGATACTGATAATGCTGAAAGACTTGAGGCTGACCAATGTGTGTATGCAACATGTGCCTGCTTCTGATTCTTGAAGGTGTAAATGCACAAGGTTAAATTAGAATGAGCCCGGCCAGGTGATCGAAGGTTCAGTAGGGGAGCATTACAGGAACAGTGGACATAATTCTGTAAGTTTTTAGTTATTTACAGATGAGGATAAGAGTAATCCTCGGGGGAAAGTACGAAACTGGGAAAAGGCTAACTGCAACAATATTAGGCAGGAACTAGGGAATGTAAATTGGGAGCAGCTGTTTGAGGGTAAATCCACATCTGGCATGTGGGAATCTTTTAAAGGCATGTTTGTGCGAAAATGAAGGATAAGGATGGCAAGATTCGGGAAGACATTTTTCCCTCCCCATCCTTATCTGCTTTCCGGAGAGACCACTCTCTCCGTGACTCCCTTGTCCGCTCCACACCCGGCACTTTTCCCTGCAACCGCAGGAAGTGCTACACCTGCCCCTACACCTCCCCACTCACCCCCACCCCAGGCCCCAAGAAGACCTTCTACATCAAGCAGATGTTCACCTGCACATCTGCTAATGTGGTATACTGCATCCGCTGTACCCGTTGTGGCCTCCTCTACATCGGGGAAACCAAGCGGAGGCTTGGGGACAGCTTTGCAGAACACCTACGCTCGGTTCGCAATAAACAACTGCACCTCCCAGTCGCGAAACATTTCAACTCCCCCTCCCATTCCTCAGACTACATGTCCATCCTGGGCCTCCTGCAGTGCCACAACGATGCCACCCGAAGGTTGCAGGAACAGCAACTCATATTCCGCTTGGGAACCCTGCAGCCCAATGGTATCAATGTGGATTTCACAAGCTTCAAAATCTCCCCTCCCCCTACCGCATCCCAAAACCAGCCCAGCTCGTCCCCACCTCCCTAACCTGTTCTTCCTCCCACCTATCCCCTCCTCCCACCTCAAACCCCACCCCCATTTCCTACCTACTAACCTCATCCCGCCCGCTTGACTTGTCCGTCCTCCCTGGACTGACCTATCGCCTCCCTACCTCCCCACCTACACTCACCTTTACTGGCTCCATCCCTGCCTCTTTGACTTGTCTGTTTCCTCTCCACCTATCTTCTCCTCTATCCATCTTCTATCCGCCTCCCCCTCTCTCCCTATTTATTTCAGAACTCCCTTCCCCTCCCCCATTTCTGATGAAGGGTCTAGGCCCGAAACGTCAGCCTTCCTGCTCCTATGATGCTGCTTGGCCTGCTGTGTTCATCGAGCTCTACACCTTGTTATCTCTGAAGCCAACAATGTTCAGTATTAGAGATAGTAGGAACTGCAATGTTCAGTATTATTTATGCACAAATTGTACGGCAGTATCAGGCATTACATAGAAGCCCAGAAATTGCTGTTCCTTTTGTAGCACTCTACCATTAGCTTTGTGAAGACATCTCACCATTTAGTTCACCTTTGAAATCCATTGAATAGAATGGAATTACCATATTTGCAAAGTGGAATTATACTAAACACACAAGTTAAGTGCTGTCATTTCACGTTGAAATGTTTGGTTAGCATGAAAAGTGTGAATTACTGCCAGTCAATTTCTCTCAAACTGAAAGATGCTGAAAATGAACTCTCAGTTCTTCAGTTTTTAATTGTTGTTGGCTATTTTAATTGTGAAAAATGTAAAATTTATTTTTTAAAAATTTTTCCTTGTTTCTCTGTGTCTTTTAATCCAATCTCTTTTCTGCACTTTCCTTTTTCTTGTCTGATTTGATTGAAAACTCATTCTAATTGAAATTTCCTTATTTTATAAACTTCCAATGTGATTGGTAAGAAAGTAAAAGTTGCTTACCATGTTCAAACAGGTCCCATGCTTTATTCTATTATTCATTAACTGGATGAGGGCGTTGCTGGGTAGGCAGCATATACTGTCCATCCCTAATTGTCTAGAGGGCAGTTAAGAGTCAACCACATCACTGTCGGTCTGGAATCACATGTAGGCCAGACCGGGTAAGGATGGCAGTTTCCTTCCCTAAAGGACATTAGTGAACCAGATGGGTTTTTCCGACAATTGACGATGGATTTATGGTCATCATTAAACCCTTACTTCCAGATATTTTATTGAATTCAAATTCCACCATCTGCCGTGTCGAACCTGGGTCCCCAGAATGTTATCTGGATCTCTGGATTAACAGTCCAGCAATAATACCACTAGGCCATTGCCTCCCCCATTTTCCCTGTATTCCTCACTCACATTTTTAACAACTTTCCATGCCAAAATATTAAAAAACATAGATGTGCAAGGGAAAATATAACTAACAGCAGAAACCATTGGATGTCATGCTATGGAAATTCATGGTCTACCATACTTTAAGGAGAATTTCAAGAAAAACATGAGTATACTTTCCTTTCTGTTAAATAATGTGCTATAACTATTCCTGAACAGTGAGAAAAATAGCATGAAGATGTGGTTTGTAAATTGGTTACAACAATATACTATAATAATGATCAAGCTATTTCATCAGCGTATATTATGAAATGTTCAGTAATCTATTTATGAAGTGTATGAAGATTCTGCAATTCAGAAAGAATATTTTTACTGCCATCCTGTCATTGAGCCACTGCTCGAAGCATGGACTCTCAACAAGTTGTAAAACAAACAATCGTGGCAATATGACCCAAATCTTTGTCACTAAAATTGAATGTATCCTGAATCTGGGATTTTTGATTCTACTCCTGAGCTTTTTGATTTTTATCATGGTCTTTTAAGGTGGCAGGCTGGCTTAGGTCATGAACCTGGCCTCGGAACTTCCAACTTGGCTGAGTCTTTGCAGAAAGAGACATGACCTACTACTCTGCAAATTTCACACAGTTGTGATCTTGAAAGGGTTGTGGTTTACTTCAGAGGTTTCATGAAACAATATCAGTTTGAGGGAACCTTTTGAAAGGTAATTTCAAAACGTACTCCACATTTCACCCACCAAGTTATGGATTACGTGCACTCCCCAAGATCTTTGGTGTCGCCATGCCAAGTTATGCCCCTCCTCACAACCCCATGACCTCTCATGACCTCTTGCCAAGGTACTGCCTCTCCACATCCATTCTCCTACTATACACCATATAATTTCAATGAACTCTATAGTGGTAGTTGTATATGTAAGGAACATTTATAACTTTTCACCATGTTAAGAAAAATCCCCTTCTACCATCGAATAATAAAACTATCAATTATCCAGGCTTTTAATGTTCAAATCGATTAGACTACAAGACACTTGAAACCATTTACATTTATGTAAGCAAACAGTATGATATTGATAGAGATCA